CTATCAAAACAGACTCCGTTAAAGAGTCTGTCCCCTTCTTTCTTACAGCCCCCTTTTAGGTACTGAAAGGCCGCAGCTCGGGTCTGTGCAGAGCCCTCTCTTCTCCAGGCTGAACAGTCCCAGCTCTCTCAGCCTGTCCTTGTAGGAGAGGTGTTCCATCTCTTGGATCATTTTTGTGACCCTCCTCCGGAGGTGCTCAAACAGGTCAATGTCTCTCCTGTACTGAGGACTCCACGTCTGGACACGGTACTCCAGGTGAGGCCTCATAACAGAGCAGAGGAGCAGGATCAGCTCCCTGACCTGCTGGCCACACTTCTTTTGATACAGGCCAGGATACAGCTGGCTTTCTGGGATGTGAGGGCACACTGCAGGCTCACGTCCAGCTGTCGTCCATCACTCCACCCAGGTCTTTTTGGCAAAGCTATGCTCTACCCTTTACATCCCTCAGATAGTACTAGTGGGAGTCACTGTGAAGGCTCTGATTTCTGCAGCCAGTCTTGCTCAGCCATATTTGTTTAGCACAGTGTAAACCATTGCTTCCGGGTTAACTATGACCCTACAGAAAGTCAGCCTACAGAAATCCAATTGCATAGTTCTGACAAAAGTCAAAATACTGAGTCGAGCTGGGCTTCTTTCTCTTCCCTATACTCATCTAAGCCAATACTTTCCAGTTTGAAGAAATCAAAGGGATAAAACTTTACAATTTCTTCCCTCATGTCTCTCCAGGCTTGAACATACTGTGAATCCCAAATGTCCTCCATTTTCCATTGGGTCATTAGGTGTCAGAAAAATGCTGGATTAGTCCCTTTCCCCTGAAAATTCAGGATTTAGTCAGACATCTACAGCCCCAGTCTGCCGACACTACCTGCTCCAGGAGTGACAAGTTGACATGGCTGTATGCTCAATTAAACTTGCTCTTCCTTTTTAAACAAGTGCTTTTGATGTCTAAATTATGTGCAAGTTTTCCTGTGCACTCTGACTACATTAAACTCAAGATGTCAAACTTTGGCTGCAAACTTTAACTTAGTTATTTGGAGAAAGAAGACTACTTTTTTTGACAAATATTGAAATTGAGTAGAAGTTGCAGTAGTTTTTCTTTTTATAGAAAACACGCAGCTTCCCTGGGAAGCAATTCTAAAATGTGTGATACGTAAAGCAAGGCGTAAAAGCTCTACTTCTCAGAAGTCTCAAGAACAAGGAATTCCGGCTGATGTCAGCTGGAGATGGAGAGTCATTATCTGAAAAGCTAGTCCTGATGTTCCACAGAACTTGCTTTCCAAACTTCACCAACCATCCAACACTATATTGAGATGGCAGGTGCTGTATTTTCAAGTTAGGGCTCTTTTCTTATAATTAGACTCCCATTAATGGACCTTTTCCTTCATGTAGAACCGCACTGAGCTCATCAAAGGATTTGTGTCTAAAAATAGATGTAAGTGTAACAGTTTGGTAAAATTATATTTGGGGCTGGCTAGCTGGCCTTTGGATGTAAATTGTCCTTTTGGGAAGAACTGGGACATTTTTCTAAAGAAAAGCCACTTCTGACATTCTTGTTTTTGTTGTCAGATAAATGAAAGAGAACTTCCCACAGCAGAAGCAGCAGGTTTCTCCTTGTATTACTATCTCTTTCTAGGGTACTCCTAATTCTTTTTTTTTATCAGAAAGAAGAGTCAAGCAATCATCTGGATCCAAAAATACATTTTAATTTTCTCTTAAAGGAGTGGGTGGTGAGGTTGTTTCCAAGGGATAATAGGTGCCCAGAGGATCTTTCAGAAATTGAAGGTCATCGCCAATTCCTTACCTGACAGACTCAAACTTGGCAGAAAATGCCCCCTTCCACGTACTGAACCTCCTGAGGAGAAGCAGAGGTTGATAGCCCACCTGCCCTTCTTGCTACTATGAACATACACAGAGGAAATATCATGTCCTTTGTTCCCATTGTGGGTTGGAGTGTTGCTTTGCCGCAGATGGAGGCTGCAGTCTCTTCCCTGCTTCATAAAGCTGTTTTATATTCAAAAGGTCAGAGTTTACTGCAGTTCATAAGACCACCGTGAGGCATTTGTGCTTGAGAAGCAAACTTCTGAATTGCAATGAAAGTATCATTAACAACAGGAACTGACAACAGGGAAATGGAGACTGATTATGTGTCTGGGCATATTGGCCCATATGGGGTCAAGAAGAAGCCTGATTTTTTTTTTTCTCTCTCTTTACGTTGCTCCTTCTGGGAAAAACCTTCAAAGCCCCTGCACTGTTGAGAAGAAGTAGCATAGGAAGATTTCCTTCTAGAAAGCACAGAAAGAGAAGACCTCTCTTGCCAGTTCTCCAGTAAGACTACAGGATGAGACTTCAGGCCCATGCAGTAGAAGCACCAACAAGTTGCAAACCTTTATAAAAGCTGATAATGAATCAGAAGCAGGGCCATTCTGTCATGACAGAAATGGTTCTGTCTCTGAGCAGAGGAGATTAGGAGCGCTCAGCGTTGACTTCTCAGAACCAGAGTCACAGCAGGTACCCCTGTAGGATGTACCACAAAGAATATCTGTGAACAGAAAGACTTGAAAGGCAGCTGACATTTTTAAGTGCTAAAGACTAACTAAATCTTGAATATAATTATAATGCCACAAACAGCAAACTTCAAAGTTCCATGGGAAAAAAAAAAGAAAAAAAAGAAAAAAAAATTTCTGCCAAAATGTTTTTATAACAGATCTGGGAAGGTCTTTTATTCCCCCTAAAATATCAAGTATGCAGACACTTGGGCAAGGAAGAAAAAGTCCCCGAGTCTCCTAGGCTTTCAGAAATGCTTTTGTATGTGATGCAAACAAAACTATGATATTATTTTTTGTATGTCAATGTTCTGAGTTGAAATATTTGCAGTTGAAATAAGCAAAGCAATTCACATCCTTTTCCCAACAATTTATCTGGGCTTTTTCTAATTTTAAATTGAAAGATTTGCATTCAAGATACACAGATGCTTTACTAACAATGCTGCTTTTAAAGAGCACTGCATTCACTGAAATGGATCTGGAGAACGAGATCAATATTTGAATTTGTATAATGAAAGAAGAAGACTGCAAATTCTGCCCATGACAAGGGGCAAAAGCTGCATGGTCTGAATGAAACCCTGAAAGAAAAGGAGGCACCAAAAGGATAAGAACGAGAAGAAAATGAACAAGGTTTTTAGCGTACGGGTCAGGTGGTGTCAGAAGAGGCTAAATGACGACTAAAGAAGGAAGAGAAGCTACAGATATTTGATACAGGAAGGCCATTGGATGTACAATCTTGGACAGACTGAGTGGAGTAAAGGCAAAAGAGAGCAAGGAGTTGGGAAAAGACATTTATTTTTTTTTCTGGATTACTATTTTGTTGCTTGAATATGCTAAATACATGCATTTTAGGCATGATATGAAACTTATCTTCCAACCGCTAGTGAAAAACTTGGAATGAGATGTACTATTATGTCAATACAAAATGCACTTTGTTTCTTCAAAAAGGTGGATATGATTTTCAGATATGCCTGATCCTCAACTAGTTTAGCTCTCAGTCAAGTCAAAAGGAGTTATACTATAAAAGCTCGGTATTTTTGAAAATCACACCTAATAATCTCTCAGAAGTTATAAGGGGAGTTGCTTTAATTCTAGGAAAATGCAGTATCTACAATCCAAATTGACAGGATTAGATATAAACGCTCTACATAAAGCTAGACAAACGCTCATTTGCAAGCAGAAAGAGACAGCGTTACCAGGTGCTGGTGCTGTTGAGCTGCTGTGGTAGATTTGGCATTTTCATCTCATTCTTGCTTGAAAGTCCAATTGTGTTTGCAATTGTTGCTCTGATTATTTAGTAGAGCACAAAGGTAATATTATTCTCCTTGTTGTTATATGAGGAGATGTTTCTTATGTGAGAGATAAACACATTTTCTTCCTTTTAAACGCTGTCTTTTCCCCTCCTCTTTGTCTCCATCTATAAGGCAAAACGTATACTAAAAAAGCATCGATCCCCTTGTTCTTCTAGTTTTAAAATCATGTATTATGACAGACCTTCTACCCTGCTTTGATTCCTGTGCCAACATCATGCCGTGCACTGCACGAGCAGACAATACATGGCAGGCTCCTGCTGGGGATTTTCCTCCAGTGGCAGATTTCCCAGGCATACAGGAGAAGGCTGGCCAGTGCTCATCTCATTGCTCCTGCTGCCTCCCACATGGAGTGGGATGAGGAGAGGATCGGGGTGCCCCAGTCACTGAGCCACTGCTCTGCTGAGTGCAGCATGGCAGAGCTGTGGTGAAGTGGAAGGATGGATTTCTTCCCAGACCCCATGGGTTCACTGGGTTTTCAAAACAAGGTCCCCTGCCTGCCTTTAAATGTATTGGGAATTTTCAATACGAATGCAATCGCCTTCCTAGTAATTCCTGCTTACAGCTGAGATACCCACAGGCCACAGCTGCTGCCAAATTTCCAGTGTCTGCTGTGAATGCTGGTGGTTGGACACCAAGGCAATAGATGTCATATAACAGCACTCAAAGATGAACAGATGACTAGAAAGCACCTTGAATTCACAGCATGCAGAGAAAAAGAGGAAAGAGGTCGTAGCTTGCTGGTGCTATTTTCATAATTATAAGTAAATAGGCTTTTAGCATCAGCAAAGCCCCCCTAATCTAATACTAGTAATCTAATCAAAGAGCTTGTGAAAAACAGATTCTATATCCATATGATGATGTGATGACCTACAAAATGATGATAGATGTTTCTAGTTGGCATTGGTAACTAGGAGAGAAAAACAGATTTGTTGTGTGCATTGCCTAAAAACATAAATAACACTGTTCCATGCTCATCTGTCTATAGACTCCTGAGTTCCATTAAGTCTGTAGATCAGTTGGATAGAGACAGACAAATCAGGAAATCAAAAAGCATTAGAAAAAAATGCAATTTTTTAAAAACATCATTGCTGAAGGCCTATGCCAGTTGAAACAACTCTACTTCCATCTGTTTTCTCAAAACCAGGCAATATCAGCAAGAATATTTACATCAGAGCTAGCAGTCCTATCCAGCACATCAGAAGCCAGCCAAGATTAGCAGAAGCGAAGGACTGCCATCTCACACTATACCATCTTTTACTGCAAAGACAGGACACCTTCGGACCAGGTCTTCTGCAAAATAAATGTATTTTAATATGAAACATTAGATCCAGAATTGTTATTAAGAAGATAAGACATGTTTTATACGCACTTCTGTCTCACACACCAAGTGGTTATATTACTTCATGCGTTATTCTAAGATACCGGATACTGTGGTGCTATGAAACTAGGAAACTATTAATGAGTTACCTCCATAGAGATTGAAAAAATGAAATAACGTATTGAAACAATAGAGAAAAATACACTACGGGATTTACGGTCTTACCTCAAAGTCAGCTGGGGTTCAGATTAAGGAAGGATGGATTATATCCATGTGAATTGTATAAGATCTTTTTAAAGTATGGGGTACATGTTTAGAGGTATGGAATATTTCAGTGTTTGTGTTAAATCCTCTTCACTTCTCTGCTTCATAGTCACATCCTTTCTCTATTCTGTTAGCTGAAAAAAAAAATCCCCACACAAACTTTAAGTTTAGGAAGAAATCGCTGCTATCCAGCACCATGCAATTAGCATATATGAATAAGAAATGAGTTCCTGCTGTTCTGGACCATTGTTAATCCATATTGATGGGGTAGAAAACATGACATCAACTGTAAAAATCCAAGAACATTCCTTAAAATATTCAAATGATGTGCCTGGCCCTGTATTCATTCTGCATCTCAAATTCTCATTGACTTTGTGGGTGCCTGGAATGCACAAGGAATGCAGGATTAGGTACTTGGGTACGCGTGGTATGCCTACCTTGACAGCAAATACAGCTTTTGATTCTGTCTGAAATTCCACAGGACAAATATTCAGGTCAAAGGAACTGTACAAAAAATACACACAAATTTTGTACAGCTGCTATTTGCTGTGGGCCACATGCCACCATGAGCTGGATGGGGCTCTATTTTGCTGCTGCTAAAGTACAGTGTGCACACTAAACCCACACCTGTTTTTTCTTTTAACTTGTCTTGTTTTTTACAGTCTGTATACAAATGAGTATCGTACAGACTTGTCTTTATTTGATCACTTGTAATGATGAGAGAAAAATATCATTATTCTGATACAACCTACATGATGATTGAGACATTGAGCAACTCTTCATTTTCTCAGGTGTTCTCAAGAAATAGCACTGAGGAATTGCTAAGGGACTTGCAGAGTAAGACTCAGGAGCTGTCTCAAGTGACGTACATTAGAGCTGTACTGGAGTTGGTCTTAAATGTAATTAAAACCAACATTAGAGCCAGTAGCACTAGAGGGAGAAGTAACATTGAGAGATTGCAATCATATTTACTTTTACCATCTCTTATCTTTTTTGATCCTCTTCTGTGCAGAAAGAAACATCCGCTTTGAAGCCAAGAAATTGTATATGTGAATGTTAGCCTCCATTAAAAAAAAAAAATTGTAAAAATACCATAATCCACAAGATGAGCTCAAGTTTGTTTGTGAGAAAAATATCTGAATATCCCTCAAATCTCCAAAGAAATGTATCTATCTAGTTAATGTCAGACCACCATGGCATGGGCTGGCTCAAAGGCTTTCTCTCAAAGCCCATTTACTTAAATTGTGGTTCACAGACTGTTGACCTTCTAATGACATCTTCTGAACCATCATTATTGATAGGGGAAGTGTGTGAACCATTTCTCACCCAACAAATAAAGGCTCAAAAGTTTTGAGCACAAGCTAGTCCTTTACTTTTAAGACCAATCTTCTACCCCAAAAAGTCAAAGCCATTAGTCCATTTTAGGATTTACAGGCTGTGAAATGTCATTCTAAAAAGAACATCAATTTTTGAGTTATTGGAGTACAAAAGCTATCTTACAAAGGTATCACAGTACCAATGATAATAGCTTTGGCAAAGACCTTTCAGGTCACCTAGTCCAAACCCTGGTAAGGAACAGTTACAGTGACCTTTTGTATCAGCCTTGTTTTGAACACCTCCAAACTGATGCAACTGTACAACTGAAGAGTTTGTTCCAGCAGCTATTCCCTTTTCCTGTAACTTGACTTTTCCTTTCTTTAGAGGGGGGGGCTCCTGTCTTTCTTCGTTAACTCTAGCAAAAGCATATAAAGTTTATTTCCCAAATTCTTATCAGTATTTCCTTTAGATGAGTGGAAGATCTAGTTTGGATATCAAGCTACACAAGTGTTGGGCTTCTCAAACTTAATAAGGCTGTTTTCATTTGCTTATCATTTTGCCAAGCTTAAACTATTTGAACTGACATTTCTCTGACTCTAACTGATTTCTTTGAGGATACTTAACTACAGCCAAAGGATCCAACAGTTTCCAAAATCAGCAATAGGAAGAAACATGATATTAAGATATTTGGGTGACGTTTTTTGGCAGAGGGGTTTTAAAACTGGGAGGGACTGATTTTGTGGAAAAATACAATTTTTTAAACAGCACGGAAACCTGTTCAATATAGTATTTGGCTCTGGAAAACATGTAAGGAGAAAGGAGTAGGTTGGGACAGACAATCTGTCAAATCGATACAGAACAAGTAAAAGACTGAGGGTCTTTGGGCAATACAGCCTGTCTAGGAAGTGTAGCTGAGCATTATGTCACTCAGCTCCAGGAAAAACAGTGCTTGGTAGTTCTCACTGGCTTTGGTGGGAGACCAGGCTGTCTCAAAGAACTTTGCTGCAGGACGGCAAAAAGAAAATGTCAAAATGAGCCAAAGAAAAAAGTAAAATCTCTAATTAGGAATTTTCATTTTGAATGGAGTTTCCTTTTCTTTTTGTGCAGCCTAGTGAATAAAGCATAGGGACTGCAAATCCCCATTGGATTATGCTTTTAGAATATTTAGCTTACTTTTTTTCTATCACCTTTGCCAACCATTCTGAATTACATCGGAAACCTTAGAATAATCAGTTTCCTGATGTATTTCAGTGTTTTTTCTTCTTGCACATCCATCACAAAGCAGAGAAAACCTTTTGAGGAAAAGGAGGAAGAGGCCGGAGGGCCTCTGGGTCTTGGGATTCAGAGCTGCCCAGGCACAGGGGCACACAGGCTCCCGCAGGCAGAGCCATCTTCCAGGCCTCACCTGCCAGACCTCAAAGGCCTTGAGCCCCCAGCTCCGTCCCACACAGCCCCAAGAAGTCTGGGAAGACAGGTGGGAGCCATTTACCACCTGCCTAGTTTCTCGTTGCTATGACAACCCTTGGAACGTGCGTCTGCACTGATCTAATCCAGCTCAGTAGCCCTGGTGACAAAAGTGTCACATGAGACATGTTGTCAGGCAGTACATGCAGGCAGTACTGATGCTAGGCCGCATGGCCCCTTCTGCCATGAACATTGGCCCACGGGCAGGTTGCCTTGCTCAAAGCCCAGCAGTCAGTACACAGGGTGAAATGGCTGATTCCTCACACTGCAGGCTGCTAACATTACAGAGCCTTCACGAAGCTTTGCTTCCTGCCACTTCTGCCCAAACATGGGGTGAAGTCTGTGTAAAACAAGTCATTATTTTGTTCCATTCCTCTCCCTTTTGCTGAGATAGCATATCCTTTCCTGCCCGTTTCTTTTTTCTTTAATACTTGAAAATGGTTGAATAATTTTCTCAGACTTTTACCAAATTTCTGCCTAAATGAACTACTTCATTAGATATTGCATCCCCTGCTTTGTGGGGTGGACTATATTCAGGAAGCAAAAGCAAAGCCTAACTCTTTTTCTCGGTGTGATGTAAGACCAAAGCACCCAGAAGCTGTATCACACAGCGTTTTCCCCTGGTATACACAGTCAATTTTCTTCCTCTTAACAGACCTCAGTCTTTTTAGTTTATGAGGGGAAGTGGAAAGTTTCTCACTGCTTGCAAGTGGATGGGAAAGCTGTCACTGGTTTATCCCACACAACCTTTGTCCAGAACGTGTGTCAGATGCAATAGATGAGACAGCTGAACATGTATTCCACCCTCAGTCTGCCAAATTCTTTTCCCATGTGCAAGATGCAAACTGGAGAAATGAGAGCTTCTTTGGTCATTGCAAGATATTGGCTCCTAATGTGAGCTGAATAGCACTGCTTCTGAGGACAGGTGATTGCTTTGAATGATTTTTGTGATGTTTCTTTGGACATTGAAAAGGTATGTTTATTTAACTTGGGGCATTTTACCACTTTCTGGCCCAGTAGCTTGGCTGGATTTCTTGCTTGTTATGACTCCTACACTGGAAACATTTGCTTCTTTCATTATTTTCAAAGTATAAGTTATCAAAGCAACATAAATAATTCATGAGCATGCCTGCCATGTGTGGGAATAAATTGTACTTGTATGAGAGGAAGAGTTCAGGGGGGTACAACAGTTGGAACAAATGAATAAAAAGGACACTAAAATTAGGCTGGATTGGTGGCTAATTTTTAACAAACCTATATAATGTGAAGGAGAGAAAGCAGGGGAAATGAGCAGGCAGCAATGGCCTAACCTGGAAGTAATTTCAGACCAGGACAGCATGTGTTCACAGCCTGAGTACATACTCTGATGAGTGGGAGTGTGCAAGCTGTTGTATGGGTGCAACCATAGCAGAACTAACCATTTGGATCTTCGTTACTAACAAAAAACAGTAAGCAATATATTTTGCCTTCTTCAAGGGAAAGGGGCTTATGCAAGAGGGAGAGAAAGAAAATGGTGATAGAAGATGGCCTAATTTCCATATAAATTACAAAAATGCCAAATACCTACTTTTATATGGGTTCCAGTTTTAGCTGAGCTATTGGATGTCTGGGAAACTTTGCAGAGATGTTGTCATCGTGGGCAGCTTTGTCTATTTGTACGTCAGCACTGCAAGGTGAAAAAGACTGTGGATGCTAAGTGCTCAGCCACATCAAAACATGAGGAGAGGGTTCAGTGCTTTACAGATTTTGATCCAGGGTTTGGTACAGTTCACTATTGGAGAAATTTTTAATTCATTCATTCTTCATGCATTTGTCCAAAGAATAAATGTCAAAAGCCACCATTTGCCAAGTTGCCAGACACTGTGTGACCACCTGCAGCTAACTATGTTGATGGTGAATTTGAAGCATACTTGAGAAAGGAATGGGTATTTTCCTTCCCTCTAGTCCACCTGGAAACTTCACCCTGGCTCTGGGAGACTCTCCTCAAGCCCTTCAGGCAGACCAGGACTCAGCTGAGCTCCCTGTCCTGATAGGCAAGCGTTGGGTGTGTGATACGTCTGAGGAGGACACTGTGCCAGCTGTGCCTCCTTCGTCCTGCTCTGGTGTCTGAAGGACCAGAAAGTGGACAGCCCTTGGGGACAGCTCTTTTGGTTCGCCGGCTTGGCTTTGAGCAATGCTGTCCTAACTGGCTCCTGCTTTTAGCATGGCTGACGTTGTGTTTGCCTCCTAACAGGAGGTCTGGAAAAACAGATAAATCAAAGCTAATGCTGAAAATTTGGCCCATTGAGATTCAAAAGAGAAGCCTTCAACAGCACATGGACTTCAGTGCTAAGGAACGTGCAATGCGAGTTGAAGATGCCAAGATAAGCTTAGCCTTTTCCGGTTATCAGTATGTACATCACCTCTGACATTGTTTGACAAAAACATGTTTTACAAAACAGCCACGTTCCTTTTCCACAGCTCATAGAGATACAGAAACTGAAATCATATTTTATGAATGGAAAATGAAATTAGCCTGAAATTACAGTGATAAATGTAGCTTTAGAAAATCTTAATTCACTTCAGTCAAGTGATTAACTTCTGCCACTCCACTGTGCTCAGTTATTGCAAAGTCATTTGGTGACATTAAACAATTAAACTTTAGACCTGGGGATAATTTTGCAAATCTTTATAGAACCATAAAGTTCATTATTGTTTTACATGCTTTGGATGAAATATGGTGCGTAGCTCCAGCTGTTTACTCTAGCATAAAGCCAGCCTCTGGATAGAAAATGATAAGGTCTGGGCAAATGACCAACTCTCAGCCAGTCCAGCTCTCCCAAATGGCTATTCTCTGCAGAGCAGAGAGCTCCTTTGTTTCTCATCATGAAAAGTTCCTGGAAAATAGTTTCTACTGTAATAGTCTGACCAGAATGATAACTGCAGGCAACAGTGATCAGGAACAATCTTAGCAAGTGGGCAGGCTTGGCTGGGGCCAGCTCCTTTGCCGGTGTGCTCCAGTCAGCGGGGCAGTGTTTGAGAGGCTGCAACACGCTCACCTGAAATTCAAAGCACTTGAAATGTAGGCATTTTAACTTTTCTGCACAGTGTTCAGCCTGGTTCCTTTCTTCGTGTCATTACTCCACCACAACAGGAACGTTTTCATTGTAAATAGCCCTATTTCTGAGGAAGAAAACTGGGGCCCGTTACAAGGAAAATTGTTGCTTTACTGAAAACACATGTGAAATGTCATGATTTCTCATTTTTTCACAACCGAATTACCATTTTGTGTGACACGCAACAAAACCATAACATATGTAGGGGTGTGAAAATGGGTAATAACACAGTAGAAAAATGCAGTGAATGTTCTCAGCAATTTCTCAAAATCCTGCTCTTTTAATAGAGTTGCTTTAATATGGATTAGACTAATGCACAATATGTACTGGATATTCCTCACATCCTCATTGACAGTAAAGACAATTAGCTAGCATGACTGATATTTTTATTTACTTCTCTGCTGTTCAGTTGTTACAGATTTGGAGACACAGGCTTGCCAGCATTCTTCCTCCAAGTGCTGGGCATAGGCAATAATGGAGCTGGTGGCTCAAGGTCTATTCTCTTTTGGTCCCTTTTCAGCCTCGGGGCTGCACTGTGGCCCAGGAACTGATTTTTGAAGCCTGCAAGAGCTAATTTCCAAGCAGAAGCTTATTGCTTGCACATTCTGCCTGACAAATGTTATTTATAATAAGCTGCAAGACTCCAGAGGTGATACCAGCGTGGCAACAAATCGCTGCATGACAATACTACTTACTGTAGCAAGAAACAGCTTTCTCTGTGACCGCGTTTCTAATTGGGCTGTAAGAAATAGCATTAGAGCAGTGGTGTATAAGCAAGAATCATATTTGCATGAGGCTCATGGCTCACTGTGGCTCATCCAGATACCACTTTACAACTTCAGTCATCAAATCAGCAGAACCACAACAGGCTCTGGTACAAGCCAAAGGGGAAAGTGCCATTGTAAAACTGAATACAGCTGCTTCCATAATAGGACTAATTGCATATTGCATCGCAGAGCTAAATTAGTAGTGAAAACAGTTATAAAACCAACAGACAGTGAAACATGACTCACTGAGGAATTGCTGCCAGTTCGGCGAATTCTTATTGGCCCCAGTTCAACAGCCCACACCTGCATTTTCTGAATGGTAAATATATAATAAGGCATAATTACTAGAAAAATACGCAGCACTCCAAATGTGACAACACGCTACTTGTTTATTGGGATGGTGAATAGTATATAATAAGTTTGACCTGAAGTACTTCAGAGCCACCTGGGGTCACAGCGCAGAGGGGAGATGGACAGTGCAATCCCGAAGTACCTAAGCCACGAGCCGCTATCTGCAGTGGGGCTAACAGCTGCTTCCAATGCTGAAGAGATACAAACCTCCTCGTGCTACTAAATCAAAGGAGAGGAAAGAGAAAGAAAGCATAAATAATAATCACCATTAAAGAAAAAAAAAAAAAAAAAAAGTAAAATCAGATATTTATAGTCTAGCTTAAATATTCAGGCTGCAGTGACTTGGGATGTCTCAGCTGACTTTACTCACAGTAATAGCTCTCTCAATACAAAACAGATGGAGAAAGCAAACTTTGCCTGCTCCTGCTGCTCATGGTCCCTTTCTCCTGTTTCTGGAGCAGCCTTGTGTGACTGCACTGCTCACAGGTCCCCCAGGCGTGAGAGTCAGACCTCAAAGCAGCAAGTGCGAAGCTAAGATCCCACATGGACACACCTGGGTTCCTCAGCAGCTATGCCTGATCAGGTAAAACAAGGAATCACTTTATCTTTTTTCTCCTGGATTTTGGATCTGGGTAATGCTGCTTATTAATTTTGGACAATTTCAACAAAGCAGGAGGAGTGTCCCTCTGATCAGGCAGGACTGGTGTTGCTTCACTCTACATTTTGGCAGGATTGAGGACTTGCTAGAATCAAGGGGGTTGTTTGCTTCACAGGATACATATGGGCATTTTACAATACATCACATTTCTGCCATTACTTCAAAAAAAGCACCATGCTTAAATCGTCTGTAAGCCATAAGTAGGTCCAAGGTGGGAGGCTCTCTACAAAGACAAAGTCAAGCAGCTTGAGAATCTATATTATACTTCAAGGCATCCCCAGCACTTCTTCTTCTATTCAGAAATTGTGCCTTGGCAGATTTTTAGTATCTCCCATGTCTGGCTGGTGTTTCCAGGCAGCTGGGAGTGCTAACAGCAGCCACATCAAATCAGATTTACTACTGTGTGTGTGCTGAACTGCATGTAGGCTGGAAATACCATAGAGGATAAGGTAGATCTATGTACGCATAGAGTAAGACAAGCTAAAACAAGAGGAGCTTTATTGCTGGCACTACATGGCCAGAATTTCATTCTCCATTTTAATAAAACATTTTAAGAAGTAGGGTTTTGCCCATTACAGTACATTGTTGGGACTTACTGATTACAGTAGGTTTTTACTTCAAGACATCCAGGTTGAAACACATGTTACAGGACTTTGTTCAGGTCCTACCTCCATGTATTTTCTTTCAATTTTTATGAACAAGCTTTTGGGGGGTCTGGAGTGTTCAGATGATAAGATCATAGAACCATTACAGTTGGAAAAGGCCATTAAGATCACCTAGCCCAACCACCAACTCATCCCCACCATGACCACTGACCATGCCCCTCAGTGCCACATCTATACGTTTCTTGAATGTCTCCAGGGACCATGTCTCCATCACTTCCTCTGGCAGCCTGTGCCAGATCCTCACCACTGTTTTGGAGATTAAATTTTTCCTAATATCCAGGCTGAGCAAACAGAGATGCTGTATTTTAAGACATAAAAGCCTCAGCAGGATCAGTAACACTGTGTAGAGAATTGCATTAAATTGAAACCAAAGTTCTCTGAGCTCTGAATTAAAATTAAAACTGTACAACTGGGAAGGAAGAATAGGGGAGGGGATATACAAGGAAGGAAGGAAGGAAGGAAAAGGAAGAACAGGCATCATGATCTCATCTTACTGACACTGAGAAATAACTAAAATTTGCAGAGCAACCTGGAGCATAAGTCCAACTCATGACTCAAGTTATTTATGTGTTACAGGTGAGAAATTGGAGTGCGAAACAGAAACATGTACCCAAGCATTTGCTCTTAATATGCATATGTTAAATGTTAGTATTTTCTTGTGTTCAGCGTCAGGTTTTCCCCTGCTGTAGATGCGTGCTTGTGTGGAGGACACTGGCCCAACAGTAAAGACATGTTTCTCTGGTAAACTTTCAAGAGCTTAAGCGTAAAAAACATTAAGCATCTCTCCCAAGCTTTGGAAGACATTCAGAAAGCATTGTTATCAGTTTCTTGTCAGGCCGGTGGCACTGCTGGTGGCAGCCAGTGCTCACAAACAACCTTTTATTCCTGCACTACATCAGTTCCTCAGTGCTGAATATTTCTACTCATATGGCAATATTTTAGAAAACTGTTGAGCTTTACTCCAGTGTGGCTTCAGGGACCAAAGAGCTGCTCTTTTTCAAAGTTGCACAGGAATGGAATAAATTTAGGTTAAGTAAGGATGATTATTCTAAGCAAAGATTTCCTTCATTTAATCTTCCCATAACCAAAAAATGCAAGCAGCATTACCAGTCATTTAAAAAAAAAAAAAAAAAAAAAAAAAAAAAAAAAACCAAAACCTAATGAATTTCTAAGGGAAATTAGAGAATGAGTCCTAAAGTATTTGGATTAGGGAATCTAATTCTGCAACCTCTTTTGTACATGAGGCAAAGGGCAGAACGGATGAGAGCCACATGCTGTATAGCTTCCCAGTCCGGTAGATTTATTCTTCAGTCCTCTCCCTGGCAAGAGTATCTTTCATTCTCAGCACCCTTCTTGCTCCAGTAATGCTGTTTTTCTTTCCCCTCAGAGGCTGACCCATACTCACACTTCCGCAGAGGTCTGACCTTTCATCTCACATTTGATCTCTGGTGCCTATGACGTGCTGGGACTTGGTTTCACCTCCTGGAATGATGTGGAGTGGTTGGTCACTGGCAGGTGAGCCCCAGCAGTGCCTCTGATGAGGAAGTGGGACTGCTTTGCTGCCTTTAGACACATTTCATAGCATCAGAATATACCAAGTTGGAAGGGACCCATAACGATCATTGAGTCATTTGCACAGCTCCATCTTCTGAAATTTCCCTGTGTGTTTTTGGTTATGAAACATGGCCGCAAAAAGCCAGCAATTCAATTGTATCTTCTTCAGCAGCACAGGGGAATCAGCCAAGATCTGAAGTTGTTGCTGTTTTCCTCTTAAAATGGGAATGTGGATGGATATTGCTACTTTGTTTTTGGCAGCTCCTCTACAGCAGGTCCATTCTGCTTTACTTGTCCATCCTCCAAACTGAGCCCTTGTCCTCAAGCAGATCGTATTTTGTTTCTAATTCAGGATCAGGCAGCAGGTTGGTTTGACTCTGGAAGAGTTTCAGGCAGTAAGGGACTAAGGAGGGATTTCTCCTATACAGAAGAGCCAGCCATCCTTCTACCATAACAACAAGCTTAGGATCAGGTAATAACACACCCTGCAGAGACCAAATTCCCACCCAGGTGGACATAAATGGAAGGAGGAGATTCCTGTGTTACATAGCAGGACAAGGACAAAAAAGAGCTGGGCTTAATTCTCCACTGGACCTCAGGCTTCCCAAGCACTGCTCAGGCTTTTGGCTTCCAAACCACCAGGCAGTACAGATTCCTGCTCCTGAGTCCCTCTGTCACCTTATCTTCAGATCGTTAAAGGTCTGAGAAAACATAGTCTGGCAGTAACAGCCACCACCAAATTTTGTTTGTGGGAAATTGGGCCCATAGATACACTTTGCTGAGTATCATGAGTCCTGCTTCTGTTGTTCTGCTGGGCAGCACTGCTCCCAGGGAAGCTGATGCCCAGAAACATGTCATGAAGTCATTTCAAAGTGATACTCAGGTTCCCAAAAATTTGTATCTCTTCATGGATGTTTGCAAGACAGGAGGACATGGCAACATCCCTCCAACATTGCTCCAGTGAGCTCTTTGCCCTCCTCCTGCATGCAGACACGTTCATGTGTGCCTGGGCACTGCCAGGAGGGGCTCCTGTAGGGATGGATGTCTCAGGCAGCATCTTGAAGTGCTGAAATATGATGGGGAAAGAAATTCTGGAAAGCAGGATAAAACCAGAAATGGGTGCAAACACAATTAGAATGTATGGTTTGCCGTCTGCATCTTTAATAAATGTTTGTCTGCAATGAAATACAATTAACATGTAAGATAATGCATTTTACCTCATTTAGCTCTTCACTGGGTTTATAAACAAATTCTGCCAGCTAACTGTCCCCGTTAAACAGATGCACACACCATACATGAGCTAAACCACACCGCAGCCTGCAAACTGGAACAGGTGCAGGGATCATAATGAGATGATGAATTTGTCAATTTACCAGTTCTAGATGTTGACAACAGTGAATGCATTTTATTTAAAACACTCAACATTGAAAAACACCTTTTCTTCCCTCACTGTAAGGAGTCCAAGGTGAGGGAAATTAACACAATAAAACCTCATAATACATGCTGACTTCTAATATTAAATGCTGGTGCAAATGTTATCCCAAATATATTTCAGATCAATTCTGTGTATTAACTAAGAAAGGGCACAGCTTACTTTGGGTACTATGATACTTGTATCAGTAGAGTCTGTAACTTGAGGCAGCACCTATGGAAGCAGATCTGAAACTTCTCCTTCCTCCTGATTACCCCCTGTGGGCATCGCTGCATGATGGATGCTCACAAAACCAGACACGCCACCTGTTTTGCAGTGGGGGGACTGCTGGGGGTTGCAAGCAGGGCTGTTGATTCCTCCAAGGAGCAGTGTGAGCTGTGGCAGGAGGAGGCCACGGGGAGGGCTGCTGAGGGGGAAGACTGCGCATAGCGGAAGATGAGCTCCACAGAGAACTGCCTGCTTGTGCTTATAGTTTATTCCCATTATAGTTGATACCACTGATGGTTTGTTCTTATCTGAATTACTGCAGAGTCTGATTTCCACGGGCATCCTGTTGCCTAACAATGGGTTCTATACTCACAGACACCTTTTCAATTCAAAGACATCAAGAAAAATAACAGCTGTAAGATAATTACCAACCTGCATCTTTCCTAACTACCGTGCAATATGGGCTCTAGGCCCAGCTGCCCAATAAGGATCAGTGCTTCATGCTCAGCCTTGCTTGGAAATGAGCAAAAGAACAGTCATTTCTCTCTAAGGATGTCTTCTTGAACCCAAAACCTTTGCTTTGTGTTGTTAGCTTATACCGTCAGTATATTATATGTTAGCATATTAATTGCTATTAATTATGCCATCAGTCTCCAAGAGCAATTCAGTTTAAAGAGAGTTTCTTTGTCTTTGCTTTCAGCTAGGGCTGGGTCCCCATCCAGCACAAATCAAGGTATTTCCATTGTAGTCAAAGGAGATGAGCCAACATACGTTACTAGGGAACGTTGTGCCTTTAGTGTGTTTAACAGTTGAAATGTTGCTATTCTCAGCTGCTTTTTCAAATAAATTATGCCAGATAATGAAAACCTGGAATGAGCCCTAGCATACATGGGTATAACTTCTCTGACTGCAGGCTTGTAGTGCTTGGTTACCCCACAGCTGGATTTAGCCCAGTCAGTTCAGTTTGGCATTATCAGTGGGAACGTGGCTGTGAGTTCATGAAATGTCATAGTAAAGCTCTAAGGTGACACTTTAAATTGTCTTAAAGTGTAAGCGTGCATTCAATTTACATTTAACAGGATGGGTATCACTTAAATACTAAATCAAAGGTTTAATACATGCTCCAAGGTGTAGCAGGTACAGCTGGTGAGCAGGATGGGCCAAATTTACCCCTAATAATGAGATGCTGGGCTCAGCTGAACTTCCAAAGAGAACATTTCTGCCCCTTTTTTTGTGTGTGTGTGTGTTTTATTTTTTTGTGTGTGTTTTATTTTCTCCCAGAATCTTCCAGTACAGATCCTAAAAAGAGCCTCAGACAAACTAAATGCTTTCTTGCTCATGTTTTCACTTACCTAGTAAACTTGAGCAAAGAAGAAAACTTCCAAAGGCTGACTTTTTACCACAGACACAATTGGTTGCCCCCTAGACCTGCAGCTGTCTTTTCTCCAACCACAGTTCAACTGCTGATACACATTGAAAGAGACACACATCTGACTCCTAAAGGTGTAGGGTAAGCAGCCAAGGCACAAAGGCAGAGGGCGAGACACAGCCAGATTTTCCATTTTGAGGTAAAATTTCAAAATGTAAAAACACAATAGTTCCAGAATAGCACAAAATCCAAAGGATTTCTCAGAAATGGAAAGTTCAGAGAACAAGGGTTTTTTGTTTTTTTTTTTCCTGTGTTTTGTTATATAAATATTTTCTGTTGCAACTTCCAATGAAAACTTTGTAATGAAAAGTTATTTCCAGGAAAACAAAAAGCTGTGTTGTAAAAGGTAGGGGGATTTATTTTTCTCTCTTTTGTTTCAAAACAGATTCTCACCAAAAGTAGGAAATTTGTGCAGAATGTTTTGCCTTTGAGAGAAGAGCAGTTCTTTAGTAAGCAGAGCAGCATCAAGAAGGAACATGCCAATTGCCTACATACGCAGGATGGGTGTTCGATTGTAATTGTGCCTACCGACTCTGTAAGTGAGTGCTGGCATTTCTATCCTACGTAGAAATGTTCTTCAGCTTCCTTCTATCTTCTCCTCTGCAAGATTTCAATAGTCCTAGTTATTAAAGAAAAAAGATGGAGGAGGGAAAAACGCTGCAGTCTCCTTTTAAGGGTAAATGTTATGGCTCCTCCACATCTGAGGTTTTTTCTTTTATGAACTAAAGGCGGGGAATATTGCTGGTAAGAGTAGCGGTCATGCTTGACCAGCAGTGTGATTCTAGCAACAAATGAGTAGTGGAGCTTCACACTTTTTAAAAGCATACACCCAAATCTCAAGAGCAAGAGCATGACAACCGGCTCTTGCATTTGCGGAAGGCAATGGAAGCTTCTCAGCGGGTGAAGCTAGCTGACTTTAGACCCCAAGACCCCTGGGGCAGAGAACAGAGTGGTTCATCTCTTCTTGGGGTACTTGAATTTACAGACCACTAAACAGACTGAAATTATTCTTATTTGGAGCTTGCATGAGACAATTTTCAAAACTAGAAACAGTGCCCAACCAGAGCCCTAGATCCAGATTCAGATGTCAGTGTGCAGTGCAACCTGTTACTGTAGCAGGCTGAGCACCTACACCAAACACGGGTGAAGCTAGCTGATTTTAGAGTATCAACTCCTTCTGGTTGTTTTGCTGTTGTTTTCATCTTGTCTGTTCTCCTTTTCATTATGAAGCTCTGATTTATGCATCATGAGCCCGATCAGGTGAGTACTGTTTGGATGATGTTCGTTTGTAGTTTAGTCTTGTAAATAAGGATGAGGTGTTTTTTTAATCCTTTGTTCTCCTCAAACACCTTCTGGCTTCATGGTGGTTTGTTTGATAGAGAACATCAGGTAAGGTCCAAAGTGCTTTGTAAATCTGAATTTTGCTTCAGCATCCATATTATCAGCTGTGTGATGAAGAATGTGTTTCAGAACAAGTTCAGACTCTTGGCATTTAAGTGAAAGTTGTCATTAATTGAAAGTATTTTAAAGGTGGGTTTCACTTACAAAGCATTGTGAGTAGAACATGTTTGATTTAGGCTTTCTTTATTATATGTTTGGATTTACAGGAGGTAATTATACCTAGTGAACACCTGTTTTTAAGCATTTTCCCTAGTGATGAGGTAAAAAGATTTGGTTATGTATTAAAAAGGGATTGCTGAGAAGCTGAGAAAGGAGACTACTTTGTCGATTCCAGTTCCTGTTCTTCCATGGCACATGGGAGCTCCCCATGAGCCACCAATGGGAAGCTTAGGGTTGAGGAAATCTTAGCAGGTCAGGCTCCGTTAATTCCACTGGCAAAACGCATTCACATCAGAGGGGTTGAAGTTGCATCTAAAGCTTATTTTCAGACTGTTCTCTAGTATTTTGTCTTGGGTAGCAGCTCGATGAATGAGAATGGATTTTGCCTATTTATAGGGTAAAGCCTCAATTAAAGGCATCTAATGCATTTAGTATTAGGGGACTGCATATTAAACAGAAATAAAAATAAATAAATAAATAAATAATAAAATAAATATATTTCCACTTTCTTTGGCCTTGAGTTACGATAGGAAGGTTTGGCAAACAATATGTGTATGTCCAAGATGATGTTTTTCATGTCCTTTTGGGATTTAAAATCCAAGAGTCACACTTGATTTGTCTAGTAGGTAAAAGAGAGATAGATAATGTTGTAATGTTCTTAAGCAGCTTATTTTGAATTTTGGAGCTTGTGCATGTTGTAGGTAGCTGTCAAATTAAACAAAATAGGAGTGGAGAAGGAAGCACTGGATGTCAGAGCCCAACTTAGCCTGCTTCCATTTAGTCTAGTTCATGCACTGACATTTCCAAACAATGCATTCAATTTTTTTATGCTAGAAATGAAAAAGCATATTTTCCCCTTTCAGCCTGTGACCTCGTCTTTTGCTGATGACTTCAGTCATTGTTTGTAATAGTCAGACCCCTGGGGCAGAGAACAGAGTGATTCATCTCTTCTTGGGGTACTTGAATTTACAGACCACTAAACAGACTGAAATTATTCTTATTTGGAGCTTGCATGAGACAATTTTCAAAACTAGAAACAGTGCCCAACCAGAGCCCTAGATCCAGATTCAGATGTCAGTGTGCAGTGCAACCTGTTACTGTAGCAGGCTGAGCACCTACACCAAACTTCTAGGAAGTTTTGATTACTCAAATCTATGGGCATTTGTATCATCAGGGAACCCCTTAGTATGTACAGTCTAGTCAGCTTTATTGACTACTCAGGTAAAGCATGGTGTACATTTCTACTGACAGATTTGTGCTAGACAAAGCGGAAGCTATTGCTCAGAAAATATCCTGCAGGTGGATGTCTGCCTGAAGGCTCCACCAGGTTCTGTCCTCTGCTTGTCCAAAGGAGCTGCAGGAAGGAGGATCTGCACCAGGATGTGCTGTGTTCAGAACTGCATCTAGTGTGGTTATAGAACTCCCAGAGATGCAAAGCTGCCCCATGATCCTGTGATCAGCTTCACTCACACCTGAGCCTGTGCTGGTTTTCATTTCACAAAAAAGAACCTGACAGTTGAGGATTTGCAAATCCATATAGCCTTTGATTTGTGCCTCTAACGGAGACAGGTCAAACACAGAGCCTATTGCTAACTCATAGGAAAAATTTGAATTAAATAGGAATTGGCTTGACCTCCCTTCTGGATTTGACTTTGCAAAACCGAGCTCTGACAGGCAAGCTTCTGAGAAACCCAAACAGCCTCCAGTTTTGTCATCTCTGCTTTGCATATTTCAATAGTTTCTTGCCAGCTATATTGCTATATTGCTTATGATAATAAGAATAACAGAAACCAAAGTGGAACCGCAAGTTAAGCTGCTTATTATATAATTTAATTAGACTCTACTGCGCTTTCTCTTCCAATTCCCAACTGACAAGGATTGAATTGTTAGGTACATTTTTCACATTGGGATTCTGAAGAGTTTATTTTGACCTGGCAAACGGTTTTAAGTCTGAGGAAAAGCAGGTCGAGCCGTGGTGAAATAAAATAGGAAGTATGCAGTTTCTTCTCACCAAGCCTGGTATCTGCGTGACTCCGGCACACAAAGAGCTGGTGTGAATTTCAGGGCTTGCGCCTGCCTTAAATCAAGGCATTTGCAGAAATTAGTGGTGACATGGTTTACCCAGCGGTCTTTGCTAAGGAGCATTTTTGTGGGGAATTTTGCATCGGATGCCCATAACTTGTTGGCTTCATGAAGTCACATGTGCTGCTAAGTTCGGAAGGAAGGAAAAAACCCACGTTGTTATTAGCAAGTTCCCCACCTCCCCCCGCTCCCTTTATTCCTCCAGACATGGAGGGACGGTCCCTCTCCCTCTCAGGAGGCACTGCTTTTCCTTTCCATATGCCGCGTTCTGCCCCTTGCGCTGAGTGACTGATCGTCCCACAACACGCCATTTAGCGGCTGTGTCGCCAGGACATTCGTTGTCTCCCCTTCATCCTTCATCCCCCCCTGGGCTTTAAAGGCCACATTTTCCAAGAGGCAGACAATCATGAGAAATAATGTTTTTTTGAAAAGGGAGTGATTGTCACTGAAACTGATAGGTCTGCGCGATAACAAAAACTGTCATTGCCTCGCATGGGACATGTGCCCCAGGGACTGGGCAGAACAAAGGGATCCTTAGAGAGGAGCAGCGAGCCATGTGCGTCCCCTCATCCCCGTGGCACCAGGCAGAGCCCACAGCCATTTTTCTCATAGGCCGCTGGGACAGATAAATGAAGGAAGTATTTGAACCGTTTCCATTTAAGGAAGGAGTTAAATAGTTGAGGCATTATTTTCGTCTGTATTATTTCTCCTGCAGTTTTAGATGCACCCACTTACCAGAGGAAAGACTGTCGGCAGGAGCTGTCCTGTACAAATACTGGGGCCGATCCTGCAGGTTCTCCTTATCCTGACAGAGGATCTGGCCTCCTCCACCATCCTCTCAGTGTAAGCTGATCGGGAACAGTGGTTCCTCAGTTCTTTGGAGGGAAACTGGCCGTGTTCCCCCCACGCCTGCTCTCTCAGCACACACAAGTGATAAGAAGCACTCTTGCTTTCCTTAGGAACAAATGGGAGCAATACACCAAGTTTCTGGAAGGCAAATGCCATGCTTTCTACCACCCATTTTGTCAACTGATGTGCTGTTATGAGCCTGCTATTGTTGTTAATTCACATTATTGCATAAACTACAGGGTCTCACCACTCCTGTCCTTTGTGCTACTTTCCTCTGTTACTACGCAATGCAAGACAAATCCACTGCAAAGCAATAACCACAGTCGCATCTGAAAATGAGACCTAAATAAAATTAAATGTTAGTGGTGATGATCAATGATTGCTATTAAGGCTGTACAATAAAAGGAAGCACAGCTCAGATCTAGTTTGAGACAATAGGACTCTGTGGGCCACTCTGAGGTCTCTAACTTCTCCCCAAGAGACATCCTGTAGGTATTCATTCAAGTAGCCATTTTTTCCCTGGTTTAAGCAATCACAACAAACGGTGCTTTTATTACCAGCAGTGGAATATGGCTGAGCTCATGGACCGATGGCTTTGTACTTTTAAAGTTGCACCTGACCAAAAAAAAAAAAAAGGCTTGGGAACTAATGAAGGTTATCTTTTTTCCTTAATTTGCTATTTTTCCTGCTTCTTACAGCTGAATCTTCTGAATTATATGACGTAAAACTAACTTTCTCTTTTATTGCCCATGGGTCAGGTACTCAAAATATTAGTCAAGGACTGTCAATTTAATTGGCTTCTACATCCCTCAGGAGGATCTGGAAGCCCATTGCCTTTGAGAATCATGATTAAATGAGTACCACCAGATGAGAAGTGGGAGAGTGATTCAATATAATATGTATATGTATACAATATGTAAAGGGATGACAGTTCTTCACACAAGCTTCTTCCTTATCTTATTTTCCCATATTGCAAAATCTCCATGAGGATATTATGATTCCTTACGAGACTGTGCCTAAAATGAAACATAATCCTGCACTGTT